TTCAGTTCCCTTTTTTCACATTTGACAAATTTTCCCTAATTTTTTCAATAACACATTGACGTAGCTTGATTAACATTTGTGTCATCCATCATTTCTGTCAATGTCATATCATCTACGTGTCACCTGTAAATATCATATTAACAATAGTATTGCTTTATTCTCTGAATCAAATTTCAAATGATTAAAATATTAATATTTTTTAATAAATTTATTATAAAATAATTATTAATTTAATATTTTATTGTTTAAATCAATTTTTTAATAATTCAGAACAAATTTCAGAATATTTTTTCGAACGATGCAACATTTTTCTATTAACAAACCTGTTATTTCCTTCTAGTGTCATGTAAGAAGGAAAAGTAAATTCTAATTTTATAAGTATTATTTTAATTTTTTAATATAATAATAACTATATTTTTATTTATATTCCTAAAAATATTATTTAAAAATTTAATATTGTGTTGCATCCTTTACTCAATTAAAAAAGTAATGCTTTGCCCGTAAGTGAGGAGGTAAACTTTGTATTGTTATCGTAAAGTTTATAAATAGAGCAGTTTATTGCGCTTAAATATATGCACCTTCCTTTCAAAACTCTCTGATTGTAGAATTATATCACAACGATGGGTCTGAGTCTCAATTTTGTCGTGGAACAAAACCAGGTTCTTTTTTCTTCTTTCTCTTATGTTGAGTAAATTATAATTATTTCATGGATGTTTTATAGAATGATACTTTACCTTGATCAACCTTCAAATTTATATTCTATTCCAATGGCAATATTCTTTTTACTAATAGCTAGAATTGATCGGTGACATGAAACATTATGAGTGATCCAATTGATAAATGAACTTCGTACTCCAATTTTGTTCAGAGAGCATATCAGTAAAAATATTTAGAAAACTATATTTAAGTTTGATTCTTATATTTTTGTTACACACAATTTTATAACACTTTTTTACAACTTTTTTTCCTCTCCTCTATATATCTTTCTTTTACGGTAGTTATCTCAATAATCTCTCTCTTTTCCTCATATCTCTTAAAGTGTGTTTTGGGGACATGATTTATAGTGAATTAGAAGAGAAGAGGAATGATATACAGAGAACTGAAAAAAGTTAAATTGTTTGGAAGAAATGATTTATGAGGATTTAAAGATAAATAGAGATAGGTCCCAAGGTCCCATAGAAAAAAAGTATCCTCTAAAAAGAGAAGATTTATTAAGAATTTTTTTTTAAAAATAAATTTTTACATATTATTTTTTTTCTTTTTATTCTACTAAATAATGGTTAAATATAATAAAATATAATTTTGAATTACTTAGTCTCTCTATTTCTTACTTAATTTTACTATACCAAACAATTATAAATTCTACTATTTTTTATTAAATTAATTTTCACCTATTTTCTTTCTTTCTCTTCAATTATTCTCCTATAATATTATTACTGAAAGCGTTTGTTTTATATTATGTTAACCAGATGATTTAAAGTTTTTACATCAAGAAGTGTCAAATTTAAGTAATGAAAAGAGGGGTTATGCACTTTATACAACATCCGATTACAGACTTGGTTAAAATACTATTTTATCTCTATAATTTTATTTACTTTATTTTTTAATTTTTATAAATTAAAAAATATATTTTTTAATTTTATATTTATCTATTTTAATTCTTTTTAATTTTATACTATAAAGTATATTACTTTTAGTTTCTGTATTTATAACTTTTTAACCCTTTTTTTCTTATCTACTAAAAAAAAATTATCATATAATAACACATATAATATATATATATATATATATAACATTTATAGTGACATTTTTTATTATGTCACTATATGTAATATTTTTTTTATAATGATCATTATTTTTCGTAATAACATCTATTTTACATTGACATATGATAAATGTTTTTAATTTTGTAAGAGTAAAAAAAAATGTCTAAACAATGAGTATTGCATATAAGGATACAAAAAAGATATAACGTGTCGAAAAACCTAATTTAGAGTAATTTTAACAAAATAAATTTAACATTTGACATACAAAATTAAATTAATAATGTTGTGTCAATATAAAAAAGATAACATTACAAAAAAAATTAACAACAAAGACCAAAAATGTAATGACCCGCATGATCGTCACACTACGCAACACACGTCTAGTTATGCAATATACATATACTAAAGTAGTAGTATAATATAAGCATTCTACATCTCCAGTTTATGTATAACCATATACATAAATATCTACTCAAAACATCTGAAATCAGCTAGTAGGCTTCAAAATAAAATCCATCTCTGAGTACCACATGTGGCTCTACTGCTACTCTCTAACCGGCCTATCCTTGCTATGCTCCCATACATAGTATGATCATAGCAGTCCAAACCACATGGAAACACGCAAGGGTAAGCTAGTGAAAAAAATCAACATATATATGTAAACAACTTACAACTCAACAACAAAAAACAACATTTTCAACAATTCAACATTCAACACATAACAATACCCAACTCAATCACAGCTTCACAACATCACAATATATATACAAGTCAATCAACACAAGGTCAACACATCAAAAACTTATGCGTCATCACGCATTTCAACTCAGAGATCTCCTACAACACAGGGTGAACAATCTAAGTGGTTAGGTCCTACCGAACCGACAACACATAACCTTTTTGGCTTGCTAGGTAAACAACAAATTTGAATATCAATCCACAACACAATAACGATTTATCAGACTTTTCCACTTAAACAAGGAAGTATAGTACTCTGTTAGGACAGAACAACTGGGTTTAGGCCTACCATGACATTAGCTAGCTCAACTAAGCCACGTATGGAATTAGCCTACCGACTATCTTCCAAATACTACAACCCTCCGATACTTGGTTAGGAACTAAGTTCTCGACTTCGTATTTTACTCGAATTGGCCACTTGTAATTGGTATAGCTTAACCTGGCCCCTATACCGTGGTCGCTTTGTACACGTGTGCCTCGACCTTGCCCACACACGGGACCAACTTCCCAAGGAGGGTTTTCAACAAATTAGGCTCTCTGAGCACCACAGTTTTCTCGATCCACACAATGAGATGAGCAACTTCGAAAACATCTCCCCTAGTCCTAGTGATCAACAGCTCATCATCACAACTGAATCAGCTTTCAACTCAACAACACAACTTAACTCAACAACTTTAAACAACACACAACTTTTCAACTCATCATCTCAATCAACTTTAAACTTTACAATGTAGTCAACTCGATAATTAACAACACAATTCAACAACACAACAACTTCTCAACAGTGTTTAACAACATGTTTTAGTAACAAAGCAACTTATCCAAATGATACATATAGTATTTCTTTACAAATACACAAATATGATTCAACACACAACTACATCTGCTCATCATATCACAATATTCAACATTTTCCAACAATTTATCATATATAACAACATGAATAATTTAAACACCCAAAATAACTATCAACTTATCACTGCTTGTGAAATGACAACCTTCACATAAAATAGTGTATCAAGAGTTATACTACTCCTATCATACCCTTCCTTATCCCATATGAAAGATAAGAATATTTCCTACAACTATTATGCAGACAAAAAGTCTTAATTCTATCATCTACTTTGTCAAAACTTTTAAAAACTGCAATAGCTATAACTAATACTGACAACTTGACCCCTGTTCACTAAAATAACAATATCTGGAGTACTAGAACTCCTTTTTGGGTGATTCCAGTGCCATTGAAAAGCTAACATCCAAGTCTACAACTTTCATGAAGACCTTGAGACCAAATTCGGTCATCTAGGATCACCGCTGCAGCGCTTAATCCAGCGCTTTAGCTGCAACTCTTTGGCAGTTCCTTTCCTTTCCACGGCCATGGCTACAAGTTTCTGCCACTTCAATTTTTTTCCATAGCTATGGCTGCAAAACCACAGTCATGGCTACAAGTCTCTGTCATCACGTTTTTCCCTCCCACGGCTATGGCTGTGAATCCACGGCTATAGCTGTGGGTTCCTACAAGTACTTTTTTTTTACTCCATGGCTATAGCTATGAATCCACGGCTATAGCTATGAATCCACGGCTATAGCTGTGGGTTTCTAAACTTCTAAAACTCCATGGATTTCACCTTCGTTTTCACTCAAATCTTCCATGAACCTGCAATCCCAGGAGACCCAATCCATGCAACAACTCAAATGCACCACTACCAACCACATGCAACCCAAAAATATCAAGAATCACAACATGCATGCACCAAGATTCAAGAGATCATCAAGAACAACCACATGGTTTCAGCTTTACCACATGCAACCAACCCAGCTCAATAAATCAACCCCCAAATCACATCCTAGATGAAGATCCAACTACATGCAAGCCAAAATGTATGACAAACTCGAGTTTTAGCTTCCCTTACCTCGGAGAAGAAGAATCCGAGCTTTGGGGGAAGAAGAAGACAAGCTTTCGCACGACTCTGGGTTATTTCCCAAACTTCAAGCTCTCCAGCACCAAAATCCAGTTCCTTTTCAGCTTAATCTTCAGAGAACAAGAAGAGAGGAGAAAAGGATTTAGCTTCAGCCAAGAAGGTGAAATGAAAAGTAAAGAAAGAACGGAGTCGAGGCTTACAAAAAAGATTAAAAAACTATAAGCATATGGATTAAAAAGATCTATCTTAAACTATAAAAACTAAAAAATATTAAAAAGTATAAGTATAATAACTAAAAAGATTTATTTTAAATTATAGAGATTAAAATATTTATTTTAAATTATAGAAACTAAAAAGATCTATTTTAAATTATAAGGACTAAAAAGACCTAAAAGATAAAACAAGTAAAACTATATAGACTAAAAAAAATATTTTAACCTACAAACTTTTATGTAAAATATATTTGTTAACTTTTACAATAATTATCTTAAAAATTATACTAATAATATTTTTTTATTGCTTAAAATTTACACAGATTATATAGGACTATAAAACCTGTTAGTAATTTACAAGGACTAATACTTCCAGTTGGTCAATTGATATCTCTTGCTTTATGTAATATGTTAAGTTGAATATTTACACAAATTTATAGAGGAGGTTAAGGACATGGAGAAATTCTTAATTATTACATATTTTTCCCAAAAGCACAAGGATATACACTGAATTCACAACATATTACATTTTTGTATATGCACATTAAAAAAATGTACGAAAACAAGCTTGAAGAAACTGATCTCAAGCAAGACTTACAAGCAAAAACAGCTAATTTTATTATTATTTTTTTCATTTAGCTCTAGAAAGAAACAGAACTCGATGATAGAATTGCTTAAAAAATATTAGATTTTATCATCATTGATCAAATTAATTACATCATGATCTTTTATTATATATCCTCTCTGATTACACGACTTCTAATAGATGATAGATATCTGTTAGGATTTATTTTTGTTATTTCTGTTAGGATTTGTTATCTTCTATCTTACTTTAGAATTTATATCTAATAGGATAGCTTTTTACTGCAAGCCTATAAAAGGCTTCACATCTCTCTGTAATTCAATCAAGAGAAAACAAAAACTTCATAATTAATAATTCAATCAAGAGAAAACAAAAACTTCATAATTAATGATTGATTTTTAATATGGCATTAGAGAAGATCGATCTAGGGACAAAATTGGAGGGACAAAATTGGAGAAGGACCATACCTCTAACCCAACTTTCTACCTCAGTTCTTCTGACAATCCAGGAACACCTTTTATTACTTCAGTTCTCAAAGGACCCAACTATAGAACGTGGGCTCGTGCGATGAAGACCGCATTGCATGCAAAGATGAAACTTGGTTTCATAGATGGGACTATCAAGAAACCAACTATCAGATCGAGAGATTTTCCAAACTAGGAGAAGACAGACTTAATGGTAATGGCATGGCTTATAAATGTTGTTGAGCCAAGTCTACATGGTAGCATCTCACATGCTTCAACAGCAAGAGACATATGGCTTGATCTTGAGGAACGTTTTGCACAAATCAATGCTTTAAGAATTCATCAAATATGGCGTATGCTGTGTATGATGGAGAAAGAACATGATGAACAAATTAGCCCTTGCCGGAGTGTAACTGCGGAGCCTCAAAACAGATGATTCAAAGAGAAGAGGACCATCGTGTTCACTTGTTTCTTGGAGGTCTTGACAACGAGGAATATTCGCACATCAAGGCTACCATTCTAAAAACAGAACCACTTCCCTCTCTAAGGCGTGCCTTCAATCATATTCAAAGAGAAGAATCACGTCTTACAATAGATAATGAAAAGAGTGCAAAAGCAGATAATGGAGTAGCTTTTCATTCATCTAAAGGAGTGAAACCAAAGGGACACGGTGGATCCCGATCTGAGTGCGATCATTGCGGCAAAACATGTCATATTAAGCCAAATTGTTTTGAGATTATTGGTTACCCAGAGAATTGGAATACTCGCAAGGCACAAAATGATACACGTAGACAATGACATAAATCTAATGCATTGTTAGCTTTTTAGGATGAGGAGAAAGAGGCTCTAGAAGGTGCAAAGGTTGCGCACACACTCCATGAAAAGCACATGACACATAACATAAGAGTGCATGAGAATATGGCTGGGAATAACAAAAAACTTAGAGAAATAGAATGGGTGTTAGATAGTGGAGCTTCACACCACATGACACCTTGTCTTTCTCTTTTAAAGGCAGTACAAAAGATTGACAAACCCTTATATGTGACAGTACCCATTGGAAGTGCTATTTTAGTAGAAAGCATGGGATATATTGATCTTAATAAAAACATCAAACTGGAAAATGTTTTGTTTGTGCCTCAATTTAGTCGTAATTTGATTTCTATGCATAAATTAGCACGTGATTCAAATTGCATATTAACACATGATGAAAATCATTGTGTGTTGCAGGACTAGACCACGAAAAATATGATTGGATTAGGTGACATGCATGAAGGGGTTTACACACTTAGAGGACCAACGAAAAGTATTTATTTCACCGTTGTCTTGGAAAACATGGCTGGTATTTGGCATTCAAGGTTGGGGTATCCCTGGTTTAAACCTCTCTAGAAAATTTCTGATATAGTTAAATGTAGTTTTATTACAAATAAAGAGGAATGCTGTGACATTTGTCACAAATCCAAATAGTGTAAACTTTCTTTTAATCGTAGTAATAATAAAGTTGAAGCACCCTTTCAGCTCATTCTTCATTATGAACTATGGGGAAAGTATAACACTGCTTCACACAATGGGTCGCATTATTTTCTTACCATCGTTGACAATTATTCAAGAGCCATATGGATTTATCTAATGAGACACAATCTAAGACTCTAGATATGCTCAAAAAATTTTGCACGATCATAAAAAGGAAATTCAATGTGGATGTGAAGAAAATAAGGAGTGATAATGACAGAGTTCACAAATTCAAGCTTTCAAAGATACATTCTCGAAGAAGGAATAGTTCATGAAACCTCTTGTGTAGGAACACCCCAACAAAATGCACGTGTAGAACGAAAACACAGGCATATACTCAATGTGGCTAGAGCCTTACGCTTCGAAGCTAATCTTCCCATACATTTTTGGGGAAAATGTGTGTTGACAGCTACTCATCTCATAAATAAGACACCTACGATTGCAAACAGCGACATCACTCCTTACGAGATGTGATATGGAAAACCACCAAGTTATGATCACTTAAGGATTTTTTGATGTTTATGCTATGTAAAAAAATTCATCCAAACGACAAGACAAATTCGCGCCAAGATTAGAAAAATGCATGTTCATTGACTACCCACAAAATCAAAAAGGCTGGAAAGTTTACAATCTGGAAACACATGAATTTTTTATTTCACGTGATGTAATTTTCTATGAAGAGTATTTTCCTTACAAACCACCAACAAGACCAGATTCCAAAAACTACACATCTCAAGAACGAGATGAATATTCATACAATATGATGCATGAAGATAATGATCATGTTTCAAAAGATGCATCACAAGTATCAAGCGAGGGAGAACACTCACAAAATGAGGAAGAAATAGAGAGTAATTCTTACAATATAGAGACAAAGAGCTCTAATGACGAAGATTTAGAGAATCGAAGTGAAGGGGAGAATCAAGGTGAAGAAAAATGAACAAGGCAACCTCCAACTTATCTTAAGGATTATTATTGCCATGCAGTCACAGAAATCCTTCATGCACGACAACCAATCCTAACATCTCTTCAGGTATGGCTATCCTCTTTCAAACTTTGTAAGTTATGATCATGTTTCACATAGACATCGAGCCTACCTTGCAGCACTTGGGTCTCATGATGAACCCAAGACATATGCTCAAGCGATGAAGCATCCTGAATGGCGTACTTCCATGACAAGAAATCAAGGCATTGGAGGATAATCAAACATAGGAATTGACACATCTCCCACTAGGCCGAAAAACTGTCGGGTGCAAGTGGGTATACAAAATAAAATACAAAGCTACAGGAGAAATAGAAAAATATAAAGCATGTCTCGTGGTAAAGGGGTTCACTCAAATAGAAGGAGAAGAATTCAATGAGACCTTTGCACCAGTTGCCAAGATGACTACTGTTAGGTGCTTGTTATCAGTAACAGTGGCAAAAGAATGGGAACTCCATCAAATGGATGTAAGCAACGCCTTTCTACATGGAGAATTAGATGAGGAATTTTATATGGCCGTACCTCAAGGATATAGTGTGTCCACAAAAGGAATGGTATGTCACTTGTGCAAATCATTATATGGTTTAGGTCAAGCTTCTCGCAATTGGTACACCATGCTCTCTCATGCATTGGAGGAGTATGGTTTCAAGGAATGTGATGTTGATCATAGTCTTTTTTTCTATTCACATAATTCAACTTTTCTTGCATTTTTGATCTATGTGGATGATTTTGTTATAGCTAGTAATGACTCTCTTGCGTGTGCTCAATTCAAGGAATACTTGAGCAATTGCTTTTATATGAAAGATTTGGGAAATCTAATATACTTTCTTGGTTTAGAGTTGGCACGAGGCTCAAAGGGATTATTCATATGTCAAAGAAAATATCCCTTAGACATTTTGAACGAGTATGGAAGGCTTGGATGCAAGCCAACATCTTTTCCCATGGAACAAAATCATCGCCTTGCACTGGCAACATGATCTCCTTTTCCAGAACCATCCCAGTACCGAAAAGTAATAGGATGTCTCATTTATCTCACCACTACTTGACCAAAAATCACCTATTCAGTTCATATTTTAAGCCAATTCATGCAAGAACCGCTACAAGAGCATTGGGATGCTGCCATGCGAGTTCTATGCTACGTGAAGTCATCACCGGGACAAGGATTTATATTGCCTAAAAACAATGATCTTCAGCTTGTTGGTTATTGTGATTCAGATTGGGCTTCTACTTGCCCACTTACCCAAAAATCTATTTCGGGTTACTTGATGAAACTTGGACCAGCTCCAATTACACTTGGAAAACCAAGAAGCAATCTACTGTGTCCAGATCTTCCAGTGAAGCAGAATATAGGGCCATTGCTCATGCAACTAGTGAAATCATTTGGCTGAGAAGTTTATTGAAGAATTTACAAGTTGAATGTGACTCACCTACATTTTTGCATTGCGATAACCAAGTTGCTCTCCATCTTGCAGCTAATCCTGTTTTTCATGAATGAACTAAACACATAGAAGTCGATTGTCATTTTATAAGAAATCACTTGGAGAAAGGGACTATCACTACTTCATATATTCCAACAAAAGAACAACAAGCTGATATTTTCACCAAATCTTTGGGAAGAAAAATATTTTCAGAATTGACAGTCAAGTTAGGGGTGTTCATAACCCTCACACTCCACCTTGAGCGGGAGTAATAGATGATAGATATTTGTTAGGATTTATTTCTGTTAGGATTTGTTATCCTCTATCTTATTTTAGAATTTATATCTAATAGGATAGCTTTTTGTTACTGCAAGCCTATAAAAGGCTTCACATCTCTTTGTAATTCAATCAAGAGAAAACAAAACTTCATAATAAATGATTGATTTTTAAAACTTTCCATATAGGTACTTTTCTCAGGAAATTCTTGTGTAAAGTTGGTGATACTAAACAGACCTGAGAAGCTAAACAGCCTTAACCATGAAATGGTAAGTTCATAAAGCCAATTCTTTAAGTGTCTCAAACATGAATTACTTTACTTAATGATAGGTTTTTTTTTAAAGTATTGTAAGATTGTAGGAAGATCAATTAATGGAGCTGCCATTGTGGAGAGCTATTTTGGTTTAGTTTTTAAAGGATATCCCCTTTCATAAGCTACCCCTCAAGGTTATGCCACCAAAGATATTTTGCAGTTAACAGTAAAATAATTTTAAAAAATTAAAATTAAAAGAAAAACACAGTTTTCTTGTTGTAAGAGAATGTCAATATATGGCTTCTTTCACTGTTTTGCAGATTTGCCGAATAAAAAAGAATTTAGAGTTGTATGAGAAGGATCCTTCAGTCCAACTTGTGATACTGAAGGTACGTAAAACAGCAAGGGAGGATGCAGATTTCCAATATTTTTGTTGGATTATCAGGGGAATGGAATATATAAAATTAAATTTCCAGTTTCTTATTCGGTTAAATATTTTATTTTTGATCTGATTATTTTTTTTTCTTGAGTAACTGCTTATTTTGCTTATTTACACTATTCATGTATGATTAATTTCCAATATATCATTGAAATAGTAACTATATGTATCCTCTATATTTTCCGGCTTTAACTAGGGCAATGGAAAAGCTTTCTGTGCCGGTGGTGATGTGGTATCAGTCATTACTTCCTCAATTGTAGGTATAGCTTCTCCAAAACCAGCAAAAAAAAATATGATATAAAACTATAACCGGTGATTGAGATCTTACATAAACTTTTTTTTAATAATTTAATCACTGCAATTAAGACCTTTAATTTAACCGCTAAGGATAATAAATGGATAGACTAATTGGGTACCCGCGGATAATGGAGACGGATAATTTTTTACCCGTTTATAAATGGGGCGGGGGCGGGTATGATGATATCCATACCTGCGGGTACCCGTTTAATATTATTTCTTAAATATCCTAATTATCCTTGTACCACATAATCCTAAAACTACACTCTGTCATCTTATTTTTCTACAAAAGTGAGGTTGATGAAGTTACCGACATGTGTTAAGCATATTATAGAATTATGTTGGATGTAATTTGATTAATTTTCTAACTTTGATTGGACCAATAAGATTTATATATTTTAAGTTATTTACTTTCATTTGGAATTATGATATTGAATCATTGTAGCTTTGTGATGAGACTTTAACTTATGAGATTGCTGTATTTTAAGTTATTGATTATCTAGAATTTTTATTATTATTTCAACAAAATTAACGTTAAATAAAAGTTCAAAATTAACATTAAATTTTTATTTTTAATATTTCAATGACATTAAAATATAAATTTAAAATTATTTGTAATATTTTTTTTTTAATTTCTTAAAAATTTTATAAATATCCATGGATATCCGTGGATACCCGTGGGTATTCAAAAAATTCATGGATACCCGCTTAATGGATACTCGCACGGATATGGGGTGGGTATGGAGCCAATTTTCATTCAGCGGGGCGGGGGAGGGTTTACTATTACCCGCCCCATGGGGCCCATTGTCATCCCTAATTAGGAGACTAATACTTAATTAGTTCAGAATTTAGTCACACGTAAATTCATTTTTGTAAAAATGTGTTATATGGGAATGGAATCCAAATCCTTTTCTACAAGTCAACCGAGTTACACCGTCTGTTACATAAACTTATGTTGTTATGTTAGGAGTGAATTGGAAAATTTTAAGATAACTTTATTCCTTTGTCAATTCTATCTTCTTGTTTAATTTTTAATTAATTGACATAAATATATTTTTGAGTCTTTAGAAAATTATACAATTTTAATCTCTTAAAGTCTCAAATTTCAATTGATTGAATTTGGTTTATTTCTCAAATCAATTATACCCTTCTTATTTAATTTTTAATTAATTGACTTAAATTCATTTTTTTTTATCTCAAGAGTATATAATCATGTCCCCAAATTTTAATGCAGTGAATTAAGAAACTTTCAAGATAGCATTAATTATTCTTCTGTCAAAACTTTAAATTAAGATAGCATTACTTAATTAAAAATTAGTACACCTAAATAGCCCAAATTCTTTTTGAATTATTTTTTAATTAGTACACCTAATTTTTCAAGATAACATTATTTATTCTTCTGTCAAAATTTATAATTAAAACTATAAGATTTTTAATTTGAGTATACTTTATTCTCACCTGTAATTTTGATTTTTTTTTTAAATTTACTTTTGATTCTTAAAATATGACAAATTTTCAATCCGTGTCTCTAAGGTTTTTAATCGAGTGAATTTGGTCACAATTTCAATTCAACAATTTTAATTTTAATTTCTAATCAATATTCTTCTACTATATTTATATCATTGTTATATATTTATATTTCTTTAAAATAATATTAATATACATTAATTTATTAGTACCTATAAATATTCTAATAATATTATTAATATTAATTTATTAATAGCCTCGTAAGGATGTTATACTTATTAAGTCTTTTCGCTCCTATTAACTATAATCTAGAGTTGAATTTAATTTTCTTTACAATGTTTATCGATGGTGTGTGTTTGGATGAATTGATGTACGAGTGTGGCTGAATGTGGCTTATTATTATCAATTGTGCGCATTGGCATTGATAGAAAGGATGAAAGTATGAGGTGACATGGCATGAGCATTGGTGTACGTTGCATACACATTTACTCTAGCCATAAGTATAGTGATTCAAAGGGGATGTATCCTTATACACTAGTCATAAGTGGTGATTAACAGTGTAACACCAGTCATAAGTGATGTAAACAGTGTGGGATGCAATATTTATACACTAACCATAACTGGTGATTAACTTTGTGACACCAATCATAAGTGGTGTAAATAGTGTGGCCATGTGTGGCGGTACCTGAGGAGATCGATTGACAAAGTTTGTCCATTGTGTGCCATTTTAAGTTGATGCTTCTTAGAAGATTGCATTGCATATGCATTGACATGAACATGAGCATTACGCATGAGTTGTATGATGATACTAGTTGATGGATATGTGAAATGATAATATTATTGTGATTGGTTTCTACTATGAATTTCATAAGGGTTGGTTCTATGTTTGAGTTGAGTTCTTTCCTTGTATCGTACATGTGAATGTTTCTTTTTCTCACCCGTGTACTTTATGTTTGTTTTAAGTAATTGTGTACGTAATGGGGTCTGAGAGTTGAAGTGATGGGTTTGCTCTGATAATATGACATCGGGGCAATGGGATTAGTGTAGGAATTTATAATTCATTTTCATTTAATTTTTCCTTCTTGTTTAGATACAATTGCAAATCTTATGTTTCATAATTTTGTTTTAATTTGATTGGAGGTTTAGCGGCAGATTATATGTGAACCTATTTTACCTGCAAGTTTTTAATTGAATTTCGTCCTCATTTAATTACATTATTTGTCTGGGTAGAATTGGTGTCACAATTCCAATCATTCTATGACGAGTGTTGACTTATCCATCATAGAAAGTTGACATTCTATGACGGATAAATCGTCACCCACCATAAAATGTTTTGTTATTAGGACACAAGAGGGCATGGACCCATTCGTATTCTCACTATTTACTCTTCTTCTTTCTCTCTGATGAACTTGTACACGTTCTTACTATTTATTGTTCTAACGTTTCCTTCAATTGACACTTTTGATGGTTCTAGTGACCACCATGACTAAGACGAACACTCTTATTCGCGTCCAATAGCCAACACGAGCAAAAATGTTGAACCATTGTCTTGCTCTCAAGTTTGTTCTTGTGCTTTGGTACTCAAGCCTTGTGATACAATGTGTTGAATTTTGAGATTGAATATAATTAATATATAATCATTGTATTGAATTTTGAATTGTTCGTTTGGACAGTATGGAAAGATATACATTTTTATAGTTGATTAATATATATATATATATTAAAATAAAAAATCAAAAGATCAATAATCATCCCCCAAGTGGAAT